TATCTCCAGTTCAACAGGTTAATCATTAATATTTGGAGGATTTTCTTGCCAGGCTGTATTAGGAGGAGAACATCACCAGACAGACATTTAAATTGCTTTATTTAACTAAAACAACAACATTAAGTATTCTGGATTTTTTTTTCTTCAACAGCAAACACATAATATTTTAACAAAAAAGCATACGTCCCTCCTGTCTCACATTTATCTCCGGACTTCGTCTCCTGGTCCAGATCTATCCGCCCCCAACAATCTTCTATTTATTGAACTTTTTGAAACTTTTCACTTTTAGAGAGAGGTGTAAGGGATTGACTCTGTGAACACAAATGTGCAGCGGGACAACAGAGTTGAGGTCTGTTATTTCTCACCTCTATATATTATTTATTTTATTTAAAAACATTTTTGCCGTTAACAAGCATATTATCTCTGGAGACACAAGTCCACAGTTTGGGAACTGCAAAACTAAGCATCTCTGATGGTATCTTCTAGACTGAGCACTGAGTCTCATTGGGTAGATAGAAAGATTAACCTAAATAATCTATACAGAAGCCCCTGGAACCGCATAAGATTGGGTCCCCAATCCATGAACTATTGAAACCCATTTACAAAACTTTTCCTAAACATTACATGAATATATTATCTCATACTATAGAATTAGAATTTATCATCCCTATTCCATGATGCCAAGTATCAGAGGGGTAGCCGTGTTAGTCTGGATCTGTAAAAAGCGACAAAGAGTCTGGTGGCACTTTATAGACTAACAGACGAATTGGAGCATAAGCTTTCGTGGGTGAATGCCCACTTCATTGGATGGGTATTCACCCACGAAAGCTTATGCTCCAATTCGTCTGTTAGTCTATAAGGTGCCACTGGACTCTTTGTCACTATATTCCACGATGAGAGATCTTTGAGCTATAATGTATCTTAATTAAATCTATCTTTAGATAGGTGTTTTCCTCAAAAAGCATTTTATCAAAAAAATCTGATTTAAACAAAAAATCCAATTTTTAATTTAAAAAAATAATAATTGATTTTTATCAACCCAGACAGCAAGGTTGATCGCTGGAGCAAGGGAGGGGCCGGGGGGTAAACTGCAAGTACATTAGGGCTGGGAAGGGGGTAAATAGGATCCCTCCTGCCCACATAAAGTGGGTACCTACCTTCTCCCTGGTTCTAGCCCATTCTCTTAGTCTCTCTCTGCACTGAACTGCCCCTCCTCCAGTGTGACGAAGTGGGGATGTTCTTAATGTTTTCTCTGAATACTGTGTGGGTGCCTCAGTTTCCCCTATGCATTTCTTAAGTATCCCGGTGGTGGGATAAGGGGGTGTGATTATTGCAGAGCCCTAGGCAGGTGTGATGCTGTCTGCACAGAGAATGGCTGACACCCTGTCACCTGATGGCCTGGGCCCCTCCCCTGCAAGGTGCCAACTGATGGTGTTGGAGGACAAAGATCATTTTTAAAAGTGAGAGGGCTATGTCTTAAGCAGTGGGGAGGGGGGGGGAAGCAAGTGGTGGGTGGGCTAGGGAGTGGAGAGGAGCTAATGCTCAAGGCCATGTCTGCTGTACTGCCCAGGTAGCTTGGAGATTGTGGGGATTAGTCGACATAGTATCCCCAGCCCAGGTGACGTGACAGCCAGTGGTGGATTTAGAGTTAGTGGGGGCCCCTAGCCCTGTGCTTAGCTTCATTTTTGGGGGCCCTCCTTGGGACCCAGCCAAGAAAAAGAACATTCTCTCTTATCTCCCACTCCCCATCCCTGTTTTTCATTCTTTTTTTCTTCCTCCTCCTATAAGTAAGAGCAAGTAAATGAAAATAAAGTGAGGTACCTTGATTGTTTTTGTAGTCTAACTTATTTTTCCACAGACCTCTTGAAAATCGCTGAGGGTCTCGGCGGACCACTTAATGATCTTTCCAAATATTGTTTGTACCATTAGCTAACTATTGTAAAGCGCTTTGGCTAAGAGGGCTTTATTAAAAAAAGGAAAAAAGTTGGGGTGTGGGGTCTGGCCAAGGGTTAGGGTGTGGAAGTGGGCTCAGGGCTGGGGGTGGC